ATGTGGCCACATCATTCTCCAGCTTAAACCCTTCGCTGGCCCCGGGACACCCCGAGAAGCCAGCCCAGGCCTCCACACAGCCCTCCTACGCTCCTCGGCATAGCCCCTCCTGTCCTGACACTCTCACCCGCTTTCTGTCTGATAACAATAACCGCACCCAGATCCCTCCTGCCCCCCTGCCTGGCGCATTGCTGCTGGGGAGTGCCTCTCCTCTCCGGCCTGACCTCACTCACCCTTGGAGACAGCCGGGCAGCGCCAAGACTCCAGGAAGCCCCTCCATCCTCTCTGAGAGCATCTCTGTTCGCACCTGTCACATTCCATTGGGGCTGTCTGTCTACATGCCTGTCTCCCTGCGGGGATGTAGGATTCACAGCAGAGACTGTCTTCTTCATCTTTGCTTCCCCACAATCCTGGGGCCTGCCACTGGGCTTGGAATGTAGGTGCCAGGTAAATGTGAGCTGAACTGATTCAGCCTTTCACCCTTCCAAACCGCCCCCCCCAAAAAAAAATTAAGCTCTCCTTAACAACCCCAGCAAACTCTCAGCACATGTCCTAGGTGTGTAAGAGAGGAGTTGACTAAGATGGAGCATTCCCAGAAGGTTCTAGAACATCGTTGTGGCGCCTCAAGGATCCTTGTAATCCACAGTAAACAAAGAGCTGGTAGAAGATGGACTGGTGACCATGGCCCTCAACCAGCACATGAAAAAGCCATTAAACTAGGACTGAGGGGTAGACTGTGGAGGGATGGGCTTTCTGGAAGGAAGGTTGGAGAACTGGATGCACAGACTAGATGCATGACACTGGGCCCTGCCTGCCTCTGCTCTCGCCCCCAACCATGAGCAGGTGACCTTGCTAACAACACCGAGAGAACCAGGAGAAGCAGGTATCCGCAGAGGTAATCATCTATGCATCATTCTCATAGAATGGCAATGGAAGCCCTGAGTGTAAAAGGCTGTGACACGGCAAGACATCTGAGCTTTCTAGGAGCAACAACAACCCCTGCTCCCCAGTCCTGCGTGGACAATGGCTCCAGCAGCTGCCATCAGGGCCCCCAGGGGGTCTGCTCCTGCCCTATGTGGTCCCCTCATTTCTAATTGGATTCTGAATTCTGAGCTGGTGGAATCTGAAAGCTACAGTAAGCGTGACTGTGTGGTGCCGTCTTCTGGCCAAACCACAGGACAGCTGAAATGCTGGCCAGCCAGACTGTGGGGAAGACGGCTCCTCCCGGCCCTCTCCACCCCTCTCCTGAGGAAGACGTAATAGGACAGTCCCCTCTGGGCTCCATCACAAGCTTTCTCTCTGTTCAGAGATGCCATTTCTACAAGGCAGAGGTTCTAGATCTCTGTGCATGACACTGTGCCCCCAGCAATGGAGACAGGCTGCACGGAGCCAACCCCGTGCTCACCCAGCCCCACGGCAGCCAGTCCTGGGTGACGGTCATCTCATCTACGCTGTAGCATGTAGCAGTACTTCATTCCTTCTTATGGCCAAATAATATGCCATTGCATCGATATGCCATTTTTTGTTTAGCCATTCATCTGCTGCTGAACGTTTGGGTTGTTTTCACTTTGGGCTGCTATTAACCATGCTGCTATGAACAGTCGTGTACAAGTTTCTGCATGAACATACAGTTTCATTTCTCTTGGATCTATATTTAAAAATGGAGTTGCTGGTCTGAGGATAATCCTGTGTTTAACCTTTTGAGAAACTACCTTATTGTTTCCCAAAGCAGCTGCACCATTTTATACTGCCACCAGCAACGCATAAGGGTGGCAATTTCTCCACATCCTCACCAACACTTGTTATTATGTCTTTTTTATTATAGTCATTTGAGTGGGTGTGAAGCCGTATCTCACTGTGGCTTTGGCTTGCGTGTCCCTGATGACGGACGATGTTGAACATCTTTTCATGTGCTCGTTGTCTACGTACAGATCTCCTTTGGGAAAAGGTCTCTTCAGATCCTTTGCCCGTTTTTTAATTGGGTTGTCTTTGTATTATTGAGCTATGAGAGTTCTTTTATGTATTTTAGGCACAAGCTCCTATATGTGATTTGCAAATATTTTCACCCATTCTGTGGGTTGTCTTTTCACTTTCTTAATGGCGTCCTTTATAACACAGAAGTTCTTCATTTTAATGAAGTTCAATTTATCGATTTGTTATTATTGTTGTTGCTTGTGCTTTTGGTGTCACATCTAAAAAAAACCAATGGCTTATTTAAGGTCACAACTATTTTTATCTATGTTTCTGCTACGAGTTTTTAGCTTTAGCTCTTACATTTAGGTTTTTGATCCATTTTGAGTCCGTTTTTGTATATGGTGGAGAGAAGGGCTCAGTTTCATTCTATTGCATGGGGCTATCAGTTGTCCCAGCACCATTTGTGGAAAGACTATTTTTCTCCATTGAACTGTCATGACACACTCATTGACAATCAATTGACCACAAATGTGAGGGTTTATTTCTGGACTTGGAATTCTATTCTATTGATCTGTATGTCTATCCTTGTGCCAGTACCAAACTGTCTTGGTTACTATAGCTTTGCAGTAAGTTTAAAAATCATATTATTCTTTTTCAAGATTATCCTTGAATTTCCATATGCATTTTAGGATCAGTTTATCAACTTCTGCAAAGAAGCCAGCTAGGATTTGATGGGGATGGGTTTCCAGTTCCCGTTCAGCCCTTCCCAACCTCTACTCCCTCTCCTCCCCCTGGGTTCCCTGAGGCACCCTGGAATCTTTTCCATAAATTCCATCTTTGCCCTAGCCAGTTTGGCTCAGGGGATAGAGCGTTGGCCTGCAGACTGAAGGGTCCAGGGTTCGATTCCAGTCAAGGGCACATGCCTGGGTTGTGGGCTCAATCCCCAATAGGGGGCATGCAGGAGGCAGCCAAACAATGATTCTCTCTCATCATTGATGTTTCTATCTGTCTCTCCCTCTCCCTTCCTCTCTGAAATCAATAAAAATACTTTTTTTAATTTCCGTCTTTTGCTTAACCAGATTAAACTAGGTTTTGTTTCTTACAATCAAAAGAATCATAACCAAGTACAGTAGGAACATGGTCCTACACACTATCTCAAACAACCATCTCAACACCACCTCTCCAGGGCCTAAGCCCTCAGACTGTCCCCCAAGTACCCAAAAAACCCACTGAGGTCCCAATCTCAGCGACGGCCCTTGACCCCAGCCCTCCACTGCACCTTGTAACTAGTTCCTTTCCAGGTTACATATATCATCTTCACCAGTTAAAGCAAACATGCCCTCGATATATGCTTGTGAAATTGAACAAGATGTCACAAGACAGCACCACAAAATAGACGCGTACCACTCTACACCCCTTAGTATCTCCACTTCATGCCGCATATCTCATTCAATAGGCAGATAAGGAGCTCTAGGAAGCCCATTGTTGTGCTCTTTGGACAAAGGCTACAGAAACTGAAGTCCAGAGGAGTAGTACCATGCCTGAGAGTGACTGGCCCTGAACACTGGGCGGTACTATGTGCATCCCATGTACATGCACTGGTGGGCCCATTGCCCAGCCCCATCTTTAAAAGCTGCTTTAGAAGACACCTCCTTGCCCAGACAGCCTGGCTCAGTGGTTGAGCGTTGACCTATGAACCAGGAAATCACAGTCCGAATCCCGGTCAGGGCACATGCCTGGGTTGCAGGTTCGATCCCCAGTGTGGGGTGTGCAGGAGGCAGTCTATCAATGATTCTCTCTCATCATTGATGTTTCTATCTGTCTCTCCCTCTCCTTTCCTCTCTGAAATCAATAAAAATACATTTTGTTAAAGAAGCCACCTCCTCCTGCCAGTCTTCCAGGACTGACCGCTCCCACTGCACCTCTGACGTCAACTCTACAAAGAGACTGAAAGCTCTCCGAGGGCAGGAACAGTTTGCCATGCATCCCTGCCCTAACTGCCCACCCTCACCCTTCTGAACAAAACCTCATTTTTGTGGGAGGCCTCATTTTTTACCACTTCATATGCCAACCCCCAAGACTGGCTGTGCTTTGCCCAGAGACCTGTACCCAGGGCAGACACAGGCAGTGCTGGCAACTGAACGGCAGGGCAGAGGAAGGCCGGCCTGGGAAACCTTTCAGCTACGATGCGGGAGTTGTAGGCAGAAGGAGCTGCCTTGAAAGGGGGGACTTCTCATGCGTGAGCTAATTCCCATGCCGCAGGATAGTATTTTGAGCTAATGACCAATGCTATTTTTCCCTCCTAGAATTTCCCTCATTTTCAATTCACTCCGTCGGGGCAGGTGACAGGTTAGTACTCATTGCCCAAAGGAGGGATGCAGATGGAAGTGACTTTTGTTGAAGTCTCATGGGGGAAAGAGGACCAGGATGCAGACGAGATTGTTTGGCCAGAAATATGGCGAGAAAAGGAATAACAGCGGCGAGGAGGAGCAGTGGGAGGTTCGAGCAGAGAGGTGTGTCTGCTCAGGGCTTCCCAGACAGACAGGCAGACACGCATGGTAAACGGAGCAGATAATTCCCAGTCCCAGAATCTGGTGTTGGAAGCTTCAGAGCCGAGGGCCAGGCCGCCCAGCATGGCACCATCTGGAACCGGATGACTCAGTAACCTACTGCTCACACACACACCGGGGTGTTTCATGCTGTCCTAGGATTACACAGCACCGTTTTCAGGTAGGTGGGCATGCCAGACAGACAGCCCATGGGACTAGGGCTTCACATAAAAACTAAGGAGGGAGAAAATACATTTCTCTTTCTTACACCCCTAAGCTGTAGGCTAAAGGTCACGGCGCTAAACACAGTCCCACTGGTACCGCTGCTACCTTCCCAGCATCTGCTACCCAGATACCCCAGGGAGCAAGCGCCTGACCAGCCTCCTCCAGGCCAGAAGCCCCCAGGCTGAGGAGGAGAGCCTGACAAATGCAACAGCCCCACCCATGTTTCCCACAACTTACGGGGAAACCAGGGCCCCAGAGAGCTCTGGTCTGCCCTCCTCTCTGACCTCTACATAACAGGAAGTGGCTACTTACTTGACCTTCAGGCCTGCCAGCATGGTCTTGTCGATCCTGCCAAGAGAAAAGCAAGGGCTTCGGTCAGTGCCAGGGCTGAAGGCTCCCCCGTAGCACCTGCAGGGGAGAGGTCCCTGGGTCGGTCCAGACCACCAGACGGACGGCGCTGCAGGGACAGCTGCTCCGGGGGGAGTTCTCCTCCAGCCCCGGCAGGGAGGGCAGTGAGCTCTGGGAGGGCTGGAGCCACACAGAACCCTATGAGGTGGGTACAGTTATTCTCTCCATTTTAGAGGTCAGGAAACTGGGGCTCAGAAGGGTAAAGTCAATGTCCCAGCCTGAAGCCAGGTATCCGACGCCAGACCCAGGGGTAGTCAGCACTTTGGGCAGCTCTCCCTTCATTGCCCCCATTCCACAAGAAGACTGAAACCTAGATCCACCAGTCACTGGCAACTGGACATTCAGCACATCGGTACTTCCTAGGATTCTACTTTGAAAAGATGCCAGCACCCCCCCCCAATACCTCCAGCACCAAGGACCCTCCTGCTCTGGGAACTGCCAGTCCAGCCAAGGAGACAGGCCCCCCTCCTGGGACAGCCCCGACTGCAGGCTCCAGGTGACGGGCAGGTGGGACCACTCACGCCCAGGAGCTCGGCACAGGGAAGATCACATTTGCGGCAGACTGTCCTGGCAGCCAGCGCCTCTGCCCAGCCTGCGCCTCTCTGGAAGACAAGGCAAGCGCTGCTCAGCTTCTAT